ATTTAAAGGCACAAATGGACTGAAGTAAAAGGATGGAAGAAAAATTCCATGTGAGAAAAGCTTCCCAAAGAGGTCTGCAGAGGCTCTACTAACATCAGACACCGTGGGCTTCTGTGGGCTCCCCAGCCCGCCTTGTTCTCTGAGAAGTTGCCTTGGTGCCCAGAGCTCCTGATGGTCAAGCTAACTGTCCGGCGAAGCAGGGGCCTCTCACCAGGGCAGCAGTCCTGGTATGAGGAACATGCAGGGAAACCAATATCTGCTGAAAAATCTGGCACATGTGGCCAGATTAGCAGTATCAGAATACCTTACCTGTAAAGAGAAATTCAGGTAATAGGGACTAGAGATAGTATGCTCTGATTAGTGGGAACTATAGAGTCCCCCCAAAAATAGCCCCTGGTCACTCCACCCTAGAGCGCACCAATGACTTGTCCCCGATAACGCATCCCCACGAATGTCCATTCCTCCACATACTTGCCCACCTTCTCTGAGACTGCCGATGGACGGCAGCCACGTTACTTCCCCATAGGCTTCTCATTACCACACGTGGACCTTGAGGAATCTCTTTCATCCCAGACTGCTGCCAAGGCTCCTGTTCCACAAGGAGGCAGACTTCAAGAAAACGATTGTTACAAGAAACAAAGAAGGATACTGTGTGTTCACAAAGAGTAATGTTTTCACACAAAAAAATAATATTATCAAGATACACCGAGACATATATACAGCGAACAAAAGAAACACAAAGCATTTGGTTCCAAAAACTAATATAGTTGAAAGGAGAAATGGACAGTTTTACAGAATTGGACAATTCAATACCACATTCTCCCTAATTGATAGAACAAGTATTTATTGGCAAAAGATAAATTTTTAAAAATAGTGGACTTGAATGATCCTATGAACCAACTCTATCTAAAAGATACCTATAGAACACTACACTGAGAACAGATAAATCTCTTTTTCAAGTGCCCATTGAGTATTTTCCAAGGTAGACAGAACAAATGTGTGTGAAAGAACAAATGAAGATAAATTAAAAATGACTGAGGTCATAAACTTCAATCCTATTTACATGGATTGACTATATACAATTGAAAACAGGATTTTTCAAAATAACTTTTAGAATAGCTCTAAAAATCAATATTTACATATAGGTATAAATGTAACGAAAGAGTGTAGGATGTGTATGCTAAGACCTAATAAATAGAGAGAAATTTGGTGTGTGTGTATCTTTGAAAAGTCGATGTGACAAATTAGCCTATACATTTAAAATAATTCTAATAAAAGTGCAGCAGAATTTTTGAGGACACAGACTAGCAGATTCTAAAATTTATGTAGAAATAAAGGAGCAAAATATAGCTAAGATACTTTGGAAAATAAGAGTAGTTAGGAAAAGAACAGTAAAGAATTACATTATATGGCTTTAAGGCTTATAATAAAATACAATAATTAAGACAACATAATAGCAGCGAAGATAAAGAAACAGATCAATAGAACAAAATAGAAATATGCAAAAATAGACTAAAACATAATATCTTTGATTTTTAACAAGGCAGCAAGTATTCGAGAATGTGCATTTTCAAACAAATGAAATTGGAGCAATAAGATAGTCTTATGTAAAACAAAACACATTTGTTAGATTCTACAAAAAATTATCCAAAATGAATCATAAATCAAAGTGCTAAACATAAAAGTACAAAGCTTTCAGATAAAAACATAAAATAAAGCTTTTGTGACCTGGGTTAAAGTAAAAATTCTTTGCGGTAACACCCAAACACCACACAAAAAAACCCTGAAATAATGAACATTATCAATATGAAAATCTTTTGCTTTATAGAGGGAATAGTTAAGATAATGAAAAGGCAAGCTACAGTCTATGAAATAAATACTGTGACCACATAGCTACTAAAGAGCTTGAGCCAAGAATTTATCAAGAAATTTCAAACCTCAGCATTAAGAAAAGAAGCAAATTAAGTACAAATGAAGAAAAGATTTGAATAGAGTTTACTAAGCAGAGTTAGAGAACAAATGAGTACATGATAAAGTACAAAAAATCATTATTCACATAAGGTATCATGACAAATCTATCAGATGACTAAAATAAAAATGACTGACAGTATCAAGTGTTGTCAAGGATGTAGAACAACCATAACTTCCACACATGGCTATTGAGCATGCAAAATCCTACAATCATTGAAAAATCAGTATGGCTGCTTCTTACAAAGATAAGAATACTTATCACATGACCTGGCAATCTGATTCATGGGACTTCAGCCTAGACAATGAAAGCTATTGTTCATAAAAAAAACTTGTATGTGGGGCCCTCATACATAATGGGTGGCACAACGGGTTGAAACACCATGAAGCTATGAAGCACTATGAAGCTAGCTGAGGCCGCTTCAGTGCAAGTTCAATCCCTGGCCAGGGAGCTGACCCACATGGAGCAGCAGACCTCTCCTGTCTTGCCCGTTGATCCCCTCAGCAGTGTATTTCAGTTACCTGCCTGTTCTGCTCCCCACTCTGTCTCTGGTGAATCCTCTCACCACCCCTGCACCTCTGGCATGTACCCCAGTTCTGCATGCATAAATAAATCTTTAGGAAAAAAAAAAGAAACAGCATGAATGAGTTACCTGCTTTATAGAACTCTTCAGTACCCCAGATATAATGCTAGTTTATAAATACGTACATATTCACAGAGGTAAACACCAAGAAAGCCAATAACAATAAAAACAAAAATATACTAGCCAATGTGTGAGCACACAAAGGCGCACAATAAGTGTTCACTGACTCAATTTATAAATGATGTTGAAAATCCTGCACATGTTCCCAACCTCATTGAAATAATTGTGTAGACAGGTGTGAGGCTTTTTTAGAGAAAGAAAGTTAATTAAAGACAAACTTCAGGATAAGTTCACCATCGAGGGCACAGCTATCTTTAGGGTCACCAGGTCCAAAGCTCTCATTTTAAGAATGACAGACACAATTCTTTTGATGTCACTTTTGGAGATGAGTTTGGGGTGCGGGGTCCTTGGGTTCACTCTGGGAAAGGTTTCACCAGAGCTCCCCTTGCGGTAGCATGTTCTGAGTTTCTCCACAACACAGAGACATTAGTTATATTTAAAGGTTTAGCAGGAAAGGGACAGCAAGAAGACACTCGCTAGACAAAGGCAGCAGGAAGAGCTGCCCTGCTAAGAGAGAGGCCTGAGTGGCTGCAGGCTGGCGGCCTTGAGGAGAACGGCTGAGGAAGGTCAGCGCAGAGAAGCCCTGGCAGGTGCCGGTCAGGAGCAGTCCGGAGGTGGAGGTTGCTGCCCTGTGGAGGGGGGCCAGCTGAGAGTGTTTATAGCTGGATTCATGCCTCTGTTAGTCTCCTCTGCCTCGTCTCCTTGTATGGGACGGGTTCCTGACCTTCTAGCGTCTTTTCCAGTTTTTCTATTCTTATCCTTCATCACTTTGGAAGAAACTTTAATAAGTATGTTTTTGGGGTTTTTTTGTAATATCAATTGTCCCACAAATTATCTTTTAATTAAAAATCTATTAGCAGAGCAGTTTTGAGATCACAGTTAAAATCATTGTAATACAGGTAGATCAGTCCTTACTCCAATTTCCATGATCTCAAGGCAATATGATTGAGGCAGTGTTGGGTACATGAACCAAGAATGGCAAGAAAAGTCAAAAAGACTTCACTTCAGGTGACTACGTGAGATATGAAAGAAGGAACATCTCTTTTCTACTGAATTTAAACCTGATTTGACTCCAGGATGATTTTCATCTTTCAATAATAGTGGAAGACTGCAAGAACAAGGAGGTGGAGAGATAATCTGGGGAGTAAAAAGCTGGTGCCTTGCCATATCGTTTATTCTCTAGTCTTATGTTTCCCCAAATTGAAGTGCTGAAATCTCAGGCCCCTTCCCAGTCCTGCTGATGAGGGATAAGAATAGAAAAGCTGGAAGGGATGCGACAGTGTCAGGCACCTGTCGCTTAAAAGGAGATGGGGTAGAAGGGACGAACACAGACACGAATCCAGCGATGCCAGCTATCAGCCAGCTTTGGGGAGTGTCGGAGCACAGACCTGAAGGTAAAGATGTCAGGATTAAGGAGCAAACATCCACTCACCAAGATGAGCCCTCCCCACCGAAAGATGATAAAACCTGGCACTGCCCCCACAGAGACCACAGTCCTCCGCCCACCTGAGCCAATGCAGGTGCTCCTTTCCACCTCCTCTCCCCCTCCGCAGGGCAGCAGCCTCCTGCCTGCATGACCTGCACCCCTGGGGCTTCTCTGCACTGGCCTCCCTCAGCAGAGGCTGCTCTCCTCAAGGTCGCCCGCCTGCGACCATGCAGGTCTCTCTCAGCAAGCCTGTCCCTCGGTGTCTTTTCTGTCCCTTATCTAATAAACCTGCTCCTTAAATATATCGAACATCTCTGTGTCATGAAGAAACTCACCAAGTGCCACTGAAAGGGAGCTCTGGGGAAAGCTTCCCCAGAGTGAACCCAAGGACCCCGCACTCCGAACCCCCAGACTCCAAAAACCACATCACTGCTGCGTGAGTATCTCCAGGGAAGTCCTGGAAAACTGCTCTAATCTCATCTGAAGCTAAATACCAAGCAAGGAATTTCATTTACAGTTTAAGGGAATTCCAGATAGGTCTACCCCTGGCCAACAGAAGCACCCAAACTGACAGAAACAAGCTACATTTGTTTCCTTTTGTTCTTTCAGATTATTCTGAACAACAACAACAAAAAAAAGCATAAGCTCTCAATGGCCTATTGATTTCCATGTTTCAGATGAAGTTCAAAGAACAACCTCACTTAGGATTTCCAGAACAACCTAGGGAAAAAAAAAACAGATTGAGAAATAGATCTGTTAATCTCTCTCCTCCCACTGCTCCTCCCATTGTCCTGCCTTTAGATCAAATAGGCCCGGGGACAACTTTCCAGAAGACACTATCTTTGATGGTCAGAAACCCTCCCCGAGCCTAAGTCGAGCCTAAGTCGTGCCTGCTCTCCCTGATGGAGCTCAGTGCTGCGAATCACCGCTTACCGCTCAATGATGGAAACAGCATTCCTGTCATCGGACTTGGTACCTACTCACCACCCAAATCGGTAACTTTTCTCTGTGTTTGCATGTGTGTGTTCAAACACTTTCCTAAATCATAACCTAGACTTTTTTTTTTTTGGTTTTGGATTTTTTCCCCCATAAGAACAGTTAGATTTTTATTTCCAAAGACAAACCATTCAAACTTGAACATGTAAATAAAACTCTGGTGAAGCATTTCTAAGTGTCTTCCATACTAAGGAATGAAGGTTTTTCTCCCAGCTCACAGAAACAAATCTTGAACATTCTCATCAAATGCTTCTTCCTATGCCTCTTCCCCTTTCTCTGGTCGTAAACCTCCTCAAACTCAGATCCTGGGGTACTTTCTTCCTCATCAGCATTTCTAGTTACAGAATTTTGCTTCTTTGAAGATGAAGGTCCTTTAACCTTTTTCTTGGAAGTCTCTTCCGTAGAAGATAATCTGGAATATTTTTGTATGATACTCTTGGACAGTCTGTTTTGATTCTATCCTTTCTTTTTGACTTCTCCTTTGATGAAAATTTGTTTTAAGGAAGCATTCTTGGCATAATCTTAAGAAGCGAATTTTTTGTTTTGCATGTAATTAATTTTGATGTGATCTCATTGAATTACTTTTTTTTATAATAATCAATATTCAAGGACTCAATATGTATTTAAGCAAAAGCTAAATTAAATCAGTTTATGATTAAAAATTACCTTGGATTAGATAATAGTATCTTCCAGCTTCCTTTACTGGGAGTCAGAAATAAACTGTCTATGATCATTAGGTTGAATTGAGGCACCTGAAATGTCTGAGTTGCTGGCTTATGTTTTTTAAGTTTATATTAAAATTTTTGGTTCTAATAATCATTTAGTGAGAAACTGCCATCCATAAAGCACCAACTCTGAAGGCTTCAAATACAAAGGGAGCAGCATCTCTGATGCCTAAGGATTAAAACTATAAAAGGGGAGAAAGGCTGCTTAAGAACTAATTATAACAAATGAAAGCTAGTTACAGACCATTAATGATCAAATGCTTTCTTGGAACTATAAATAGCTCTCTGAAGTAAAGGAAAACATTTGACGTGAAGATTAGATTGGGCTCCTATTAAAACATGGCAAGTTTCTACTTACAAATTTTTGCATTTTCATCACTGAAATTGGACATTAAGTGTTAATTAAGCAGTGGCCGGCACAGAGATACTACTAACATTTGAGTGCTCTTGTATGAGTGAATCCTGTACAGCTAAGTATGAGTTAATTTTGAAGAGAAACAGTCAGAACAGGGTATTTTAGAGAGAAGAGGCACAGAATATCTGCCTTGTCAGAAAAAGCCAAACCCACAGGGACATTTGGAATCACTGGTGGAGATGATCTGGAAATACACACTGAGACTTCGAGCACCTTGAATATCATCCCACCAAGTTGGAACTTCTTGCGATAGAAAGGGAGCAGTTATGTAATTGACCCTGTATCACGGTCCAGCGTTTCACTGCAGCGTCTGCTGCATGATTTCAGGGGTCCCTGTAATGTCAGGGCATGGCCGTCACCCCTTACCTGGCACGTTGGGCTTTCACGGTGCATTTAGGATCTGTCTGTCCAGCAGCACTACGCCCTCTCCCTGTGTGAAATGCAATTTCCCGAGTTTCTGGATCCTCTCTCCCACCTCCATACTGATGCACGTGCTGATGTCTACCTGGAACACCTTTTCTCCTGACGTTCTCACCTGGCTAGCTCCTACTAAAAATTCAGGATCCAGCTCAAGGGGGGTCCTTAGAAGCCCCTTTCCTGAGATCACAACCTGCCCTTGCTGTGTGTTCACGTAGCCTCTGGGCTTGATTCTACTGTGGCGTTTACCACACTAAATTGTTAAGATGTGGTGTCCCGTTCAGCTCTACATTCCCTGTATAGTGTCTGGCGGGTAATGGGTGTTCAGCAAATGCTGTCAAATTCAAGAGCGAGTTTGAAACAGGAGATGTACATGTAGCAGCAGCGGGAATGGAGATGGAAATGGATGCAGTGATGGCTCAAGTTTCCTGAACACTGAATTGCATGCTGGGAACTCTTTCGAATGCTTCACGTGATGTGAGTTTTCTGACTTCATCTTCACAACATTAAAAAGATAACACTTAACTATGTTTTACAGGTGAGAAAACAGGTGTGGAGAGGTAAAATAAAGTGCTTCAAACTTATAATGTTAAGGAATAGACTTGGGATTTTTAAAAAAGATTTATTAATTATGCATACAAGAGCTGGGGTACAGGCCAGTGGTGGGGGGCGGTGTGTGTGAGAGGGTTCACCAGAGACAGAGTAAGGCGCAGAACAAGGCAGACCTGTACTGAAATACAGTGCTGAGGGGAGCAGCCGGGAGACAGGAGAGGTCTGCTGCATCATGTGGGTCAGCTCCCTGTTGGGGGATCAAACTCGCACTGCAGTGGCTGCTGATAGCTTCATAATGATGCACTTTAACCCGTTGCACCACCAGGGAGGGCCCAGAAGTGGGAATTTGAATCAACATAGTTCAGACACAGATCCTATGCTCTGAATGCCTGTTATTTCCTGTTATGACTATTACGTTAATGAAGCTGTATATTTTGAAATATGACTTGCTAGATTTAGTTCTGCGTAGGAAAATATCTAGGAACATATATGCTGGAAGTACACAGAAGGATATATACAAATATTTCCTGAAAACAGCAGGGCTCAAAGTCATGTACCTCCCTGTATGTTTGATTAAGTGCCTACTCTGTGTTTAGTGATAGCATTCAATGCCGTGGGTTAGAGACATTCAGTAGTCACCACAATTCACTTCCTCAAAGAGCTGTCACTCACTTCAGAAAATAACTCACTTCATGCCAGTTGGAGAAGATGAACTAAAAGACACAGGATTAGAAATGAACATCATACAGGCACTGATACTTTGGGGTTCAGAAATACCACCAGTTACTATGTAATATAAGGCACTCATATGCCTGACCAAACCAGGAATTCCAATGTGGAGAAACACAGCATGTCTGAGGATTTGGAGCAGTGGAAGGGGTTAGGTGGTGAGAAGGACTTTGGAGAAAGGCGTTTCTCCCATAGGGAGCATCGCACAGCTACCAGCTTCTTGGTCATCTACTGGGGGAGGGGGAGAGAGGGTGGGGGAGATAAGGGGGTAGGGGGCCTGTGAGTTCACCCTGAACCAAAAGGGCTCAAGGGGCTTTCATTTCCCAGTCGGCCCTGAAGGTGGAGTCACGTGCTAAACTTAAGCCTTCTCTGATGGTCATACCTGAGATTCATTTCAAAACCTGTCATTCCACAGCAAGAGATAAAAGGATTACAGAGATCCCTGAACTGAAAGGCAGGGATCCAGTTGGCCCATGTGTGCCTGGGATGCTGTTCAATATTTGGTAGTGAAGTTAGAGGGCAGCACAGGGCCAGAGTCTAACTTGCCTGGTCTGCTGGAGGAGGTGGGAGGAAGCCTGGTGGAAGGCGACCAAAAATCGTGTTTCTGTTTAGATTCCTTCCAAACATGTGGTAATAGGAACCGAGTGGAAGGACACTATCTAGGGCTGTGTGAGGTCCACAGTCCTGCCTCTCCTATTGTATAGGGATGTTCTTTTCTCTCTCTCTCTCTGTGCCCATCTTTCTTGTAAAGGTTTTTTATGCCTGAAGGTTCAGGTTAATTTAGACGGAATCTGCATTTGGTAAGACTCACGATGTTCATGAATGATAAAATACACAAAGAACGGGACCTTCCTCTGTGAGAGCTTTCTGGATGCTTCAATGCGGGGATGAAATAGTCTACATTACATTCCAGGAGAGCTTCCTTCTGTCTTGCTCCTTATAGTTCCTTCCAGACAATTCTAAGACGGGAGGTTTGCTGATCAGACCTTTTTTCTGCTTTGATAGAAATTAATTCAGTTTCTATAAATATCTGTCCAGAGACATCATAGTCAGTCAGTGGCGTGTGCTTTTACATTTAGAAAAGGAGATAGCTTGAGTTTTTTCCAGCACCTGTGGCCCTCATACACACATACTCTTGCCACTAAAAACTTCCCACAAAATGCTAAGAAGACACCAGGGAAGATACCAGGAAGAAAAGCTTTGGTTCATACTTCAAAAATATTAACCTTCCAACATTAAAGAGAATTAAAATAAGAAGACAAGATAAAGCATAGAGAAGTCAAGGAAGATTATTTCTCTTATAAACCAGGCAAAAAGAGACTTGAACTTGGCTAGTGGCTATCAGGAAAATTATTAGACAGAAGCCCAGGACAGAAGTAACTTGGCCCAAGGTTACAAATCATTGAGCTGGACTCTGCAAAGTTTGCTAACCAACTGGCTGGAACCAATGAGGGCACATGGCATTGTAAAGCAAGACTGGTATTTCATCCCATGTTGTCACATTTCATCACATGTACACAGGGTGTAAGGATTAAAACTCAATTTGATTTAGCTAAGCCTTATTTTCATCTACTCTTCCTCCCTCTTTTTAATATTTAATTTTTTGAAATAGTGTGCACTTTGAGGAACAAATCATTGTAAACGTAACCTCTGTGTAACCAACACTCAGATCCAAAATTGGGACATACCAAGCCTTCCCTCCAGCAAGAGGTAATTGCTCTTCTCGTTTTTTTTTTTTTTTTTCGTTTGTTTTTTTCTTTATTGAGGTAACATTGGTTTATAAGTGTATAGGAATTAGGGGACTAGGTTCACACCATCCGAGTTGTATGTTATCATACCATCCCCATCATCAAAGCACCCACAGTCCTTTACCCAAGACCACTGGGTCCCCTCCCATTCTTCTAATTTTTTTTATAAGTTTATTTTTACATATTTTTGTGCATTTTTCCATCTCAGTTGCAATCCCCTTGGGTTTTCCATCACCAATCATTCTTCTAATATTTAAAAAAAAATTTAGTTTTCCTTATGTATACAAGAACTTGGGTACAGGCCAGAGGTGTGGGAGCGAGAGGATTCACCAGAGACAGGGTGGGGAGTAGAACAGGCAGATCTGTTGAAATACACTGCTGAGGGGAAAAGTGGACCGATCAAGAGAGGTCTT